GGGTAGTGAGGCTGAGGATGGTGTGGGGGGTAGTGAGGCTGAGGGGGGTGGTGAGGCTGAGGGGGAAAAGAGGGGGTGATGGTGAGGTGGGTGAGAGAGCCTACCTGTCCTCCCTGGTGGTCCGGTGGCCACTTCTTCCGGTCTGCAGCTCCGCAGAGCTGCAGTCCGTGTAATCCCGCGAGACCATCAGAGCGTTGCCGTGGTAACCCGCGGCAACGCTCTGATTGGCCAATTCTCGCGAGACACATGGTCTGCAGCTTTGCTCACTGCGGAGCTGCAGACCTGTGTCTGCGATGGTGGCCGGGCAGCCAGGAGGGGCCTCGCACCCGGCGGCATACTGGGCAAGCCGCCGGGCCCCCTCCTGGTGTCAGGTCCTCGGTCACTGACCGAGGGCCTGACACAGTCTGCCCACAGGCGGGTTAGGCGGCCGCGAGGCCCCAGCCAGCACGAGGCCTTAGGCTGCCGCCTAAACCGCCTAATTAGAGAGCCGCCTCTGAATGTGTCTATATAAAATAGATTTGAGAGAGAGATTGTAAACTAAATATTGCCTTGTAAGTGTATTCACACTGCAACTTAATGCAGCATCTAGATCAGGACCCCAAAAGGGAATACTCTCTCAAATGAAAATTAGATGTAGCGATAGAACAATAAAATCTAAAATAAAAATTCAGAATTTCCTAAATGTCGCAAAATAAAACAGAAAAAGAGGGGGAGAAAAAAATATCTACCAAAGTACGTTAACAATTTACAATAGTGACAATGCAATCTGTCACAGACTTAAGCCTGAATAGATCCAACATACATTAATTCCTCAGTTATTAGGATCTGTGCATGTATCCTCCTCAATCTTGCCAAAGCACAGATAGAATAAAATAAAGAAAGAATAGAAATAAAAGAAAGAGGAGAGCGACAGGTGTAACAAATAGGAAAAAAATTATGAAAAACACAAAAAAAGGGCTAAATAGAAAGAAACGGTTAAGATTATGTATTAATGAATTCAATACTGAAAAAAAAAAGACTAAACAAGCAGTATTCCTTTAGTTGGGGTTAGCCAAGCGAGTTGGATTGCAAAGGCTCCCCATGACTGTGGACTAACAGGTCACAGAGATTACTGGATCTATGAGCAGATAAAGCTGGTATTAATAGATTACTGCTCACCTTGTTTAGAGCCCTTTAGAACCTGTCTCCAAGTATACAAACTTAGTGTCCTTTAACTCATCCTATATCCTCTATCTGTATCCTAGCCTACATAGACCAGGATACAGGTAGAGGATATAGGATGAGTTAAAGGAACATTATAGTGCCAGGAAAACAAACTCATTTTCCTGGCACTATAGGGTTATTAGTACCCCCCTCCCACGGAGCCCTCCTCCCGCTGGGCTGAAGGGGTTAAAACGCATTCAAAACGCCCAAAGGAAAGCATTACTCAATTACTCAAGTGGTCTGGGTGCCTATAGTGGTCCTTTAACAAATGCATTTATTAAAATCAAAAAACAAAAGCGAATACCAAATTCAATTTAAAAAGTTTCTCAATTCCTTCCTCTTCCTTCCAAGATGCTTTTTGACAGGTAAATCGCTTTATCAATCGGGGATTCAATTTATTCTGGTATTCCTATTTAAGTCCAGTATGTCCCTCTCCCACTTTGTCCGTTTGTCCAATTGGAGTGAGTCTCCTCATGTGAATCATGTTATGGAGTGAAGTATTCCATCTTCTGTCCATCAGAAGTTTATACCAAACGCAACTGCGTCACGTCATTTCCGTTCCTCGTTCGTGACTACCACTCTCCGGGAGTGCATAGCGATACATTACTTTCAGGTAGGATCGTCCGGCTTATTATTTAAGGTAATAATAGCAGAATAAATATGCCAATCTGTTAGAATGTTTGAGAATTATACATTCTCAGCCCACAAAGCACAAAGCTCACAGAGGGGAAGAAATAGACAAGAGAAAAAAAGGTTATATAATCATATCAAAAATTATATATATTCTCAAATCAAGAATATTATAAATCTAATAAAACCGTATTTTTTTTTAAAAAGGGCTCCAAACAAGGTGAGCATTGATTTATTATTTTAAGTCTGCATCCAAATTTTTTAAATACTACACCCAGATTGCTGCCATGTGTCTTTTACTGCTATGCTCCATTGAGAGAATATTTTAAAAGAAAACTCAACAGCAAGAAGGTTTTGTTTGCCACCTTAATGGCACAGATGCCCCTGATTTTAGGGTATATATTCTAAAGGCTCTAAAAAAATGAAGTTTTATTTAAACAATCTCTAGTGTGTTTTATTTTGCATTTAAAGCAATATTATACAATATGATATTCTCTATATTTTGCATATACCTACCCCTGCTAACATTGAAGGGTGCTTTTTTTAAATTTAAAATAATTTTTTAAAATCATTGTTAATAAACATTAGAAGATTCATGTTTTGTCACAATATGTATGGTTTGAGGCATTTAGCTGCATTTCACAGGCAACTACCAATTACTGTTCTACAAGAGTATAAAGTACTTAACAGAAGGATTCTGGCTTCAAGTTTATCATGCTCCCAGCCTAAAGATGAGTATTAATAATTCCAGTAGTTCTACTGTTTTTTGTTTTAGATAACCTCATCCCTGCCAAAAAGAAACAAACTACACAACTTCTAGTGAGACCTGCTCTGCACAGCCGTGTGGGACAAAAGAGCAGGAAACAGGTTAATGAGGAAATAAAATTAAAATTTATTTTTGTCTCTGCTTCTAAAGCATGTTCTATAGCGCCAAAATATTCATTAGAAAGGACAGAAACGAGAAACATAATTTTCAAAAATTATCTGAAAGTAATTTAGCACATTTCTCAGGTAGACAGGAATGTATTTGAAGTGCTGTCTGGATGTGAATTGGTTGCGGATATGAAGAAAGATATCTTCCAGGTTCTGTCAACTAACTCGTATTCAAGAAAGCTAGAATTGCATTTTACTTTTTTTCTTCATGGTTTGTGTTTGTATTTCTGTGGCAATACATAATATAATAAAACAACGATCCACATTCCAGAGCTGTTCTATGCATATGTCTAACCAAAAGGTCAATCCCACAACTGCATTTACACTTTCTCCATGAACAGTAAGCATTATAAAGAAGTTTAGAAAAATGCATTCAGGGTGTTAATACAGATGAACTGTTGCTGTGTGTTGCCCACTCAGGAAACCTGTTCAGATCAAACATTGGTATTCCCCACGTATAAAGTCCAAACCATAAGGTTACCATTCTTATTAGGTTAGTTCCCAGTCCTGCTTATACCATGTCTGGAACAGTGAGGTGACCATAGGAAAAAACGATTGCATTGGGAGGATTTGCAACAGGCAAAAGGAAAGCACTTATTTAGCTGGAATGATGATCAGAAGAGCATTCACTCTTATTCCTTCAGCCAGTGAATAAAGGATGGGTTGGAATATTGTGATGGTTGCTGGGTTGCTTGCCACTTCATCACAGTTGTGACCATTAAACAGACAATTAGTACAATGACCCAGACATCAAGGCCACTCAAAGGTTCCATTTTATCCCCAACCCATATAGAAAGCTCAAACACTTCACATACTTTGTACAGAGTGTTTTACAGCTGCTAATAATCACTAACTTCACTTTAAGCGCTACCATTAGTGATGTCCCGAACGGTTCGCCACGAACAGTTCGCCATGAACGGTTCGCCACGGACTCATCATTGAGTAAACTTTGACCCTGTACCTCACAGTCAGCAGACACATTCCAGTCAATCAGCAGCAGACCCTCCCTCCCAGACCCTCCCACCTCCTGGACAGCTCACTAAAAATGCAGCTTCACAATGGATGCTGTCCAGGAGGTGGGAGGGTCTGGGAGGGAGGGTCTGCTGCTGATTGGCTGGAATGTGTCTGCTGACTGTGAGGTACAGGGTCAAAGTTTACTCAATGATGAGTCCATGCCGAACCGTTCGCGAATGGTTCGGTGAACCGTTCGGGACATCACTAGCTACCATATTAACACTATTTATTTACTATATGTTTAAAACTAAACTTATCATTGATAAAAACAATATTTAAAAAAAATATTAGTACATTAGAGAATCTTGTTGCGTTTGCTCTATGTAGCCCAATGTACATTTTGATTCCTTAACATGGCACCTTTGCCTGGGGCATGGCTAAAGATACACCTTGAAGATACTTGTATAATTAGAACCTCCCATGGAACCACCTAACAATTTTTTTATTAATCAAGCAGAGTTATCTAAGATAGGTCAATGCAAACTCAGTGTGAGTCTCAATTAGGCAAGGGGAGTAACTTGCCCACTTGGGGAGGTGGTATAACTGGTTAGATCACGTGGTTAAGGCCTAGCTAATCAGTTTAATTATTTACCATTGTGCTAGACATTATAGACATGACAGCTTTTAGAGCAAATTGGGAAAGCTGCACATCTTCGTAACACCTTAATTATTGGAGATTTTAACTACCATAACATAAGATGAGATAGAGGATCTAGTAGTTCAGCAAGGGGAATCAGGTTTTTGAACATGTTGAATGACGGCCAAAAGACTAAAAAAGACTGGACATACTCCATTTTAAATACCTTGAGTTGTCTTGTTTTTCAAATGGTATGCCATGATCTCAAAAGCAACATAACTAATCTGGCAAAATTAATTGTGCAAAAACATAAATGTGTAAGCCTTATATTTGACCCCCAAAACACCTTAAAACATGGAACTGGGGGGTACTGTAGTACTTGTGAGACATTACTGAACACAGATATGAGTGTTTAGGAGCAATAAAACATAGAATACTGATGATATAATTGGTGAAAGGGCAGTTTATTTGTGAAAAATGCAAAACTACAAAAATGAACTCTAACATTGGCCAGTGCTTGTGACTAAATGGCTACTACTTTTCCAAATGGTAGGCCATGATGGGGGTAATTTTCATTCCAGGGCTGCCATACAGTCTCAAATGCAACATAGGCCCAGCAAACCAATCTGGCAAATTTTAATATGTAAAAACTGTCTTAAAATTCCATAAAAGGCTGTTATCTATGGAGGCTGTTAAGAAAGTGCTAAACTGGATCAGGCACCCACTAGAGAGGCCCTGATTCAACAAATCACCACGAATCTGGTATATGAAAAGGAACTGCATAGGCAAAGCTCCTCAAACAAATATGCCAACCTGGCTCATGCGAAATGGGAGTTGGGACTGGGCAAGGAGGGAGAGTGACACAAAGAGGGAGAGGTGATGGCAAACAACTGCGCAGAAGAACCCACATGTACATAGTTCTTTAGTTTACCGTTTTGATCTGGTTAAAATAGGGGAGCCAAAGTGCAGGACCAAGATACATAGAAAGCTCAAAGGCGAGTATAGGCTGGAAATAACATGACGGCCGGGATAAGGCCAATGAGACCAAAGGCTTCACAACTATAAGGGATATGCATGTGAGCTAAAAGATTACCCCTACCCCCCCCCCCTTCTACCCCACTCCCTCTGGTACCAGATACTTGTCAACCAGGACGAGAGGAAGGTAGTGATGTACATGACAAGTCATATTTCACGCTGTTTTAATGTATTACTGTAAGGATGTCATTGAAATGTTTGATGAAGGCAAATCATGTAACCCCCTTCCGCCCCTTTTCTCTTCTGTACCAATGGCGAAACCAATAAAAATTGTCAAATTAAAAAAAAAAAAAAAAGAAAGTGCTAAACTAGCATGCTAGCTTTTGTTAGTTTCTTTCAATTTTGAATATGACTTGCATTTATGCATAATTTCAGATTGTTGCCTTTGTATAAACAACAAGGTTGGGTCTTACACAAGCATCATCCGCATAGATTAACCCCTTAAGGACTGGACTGTTTTTGCGATGTTGTACATTTGCGACCAGGAATATTTTTACACTTTTGTGGTGTTTGTGTTTGGCTGTAATTTTCCGCTTTCTCATTTACTGTTGCCATACAAATTATATATTGTTTTTTTCAGGGCAAAAGGGGCTTTCTTTACATACCATTATTTATATAATCTCATGTATTTTAATTTAAAAAAAATACAAAAATCTGATGAAAAATTGAAAAAAATACATGTTTTTTGACTTTTACTTGAAAAATCTTTTACTCATCTACAAAAGCGAATGAAAAAAACTGCTAAATAGATTCAAAATTTTGTCCTGAGTTTAAAAATACCTAGTGTTTACGTGCTTTTTTGCTTTTTTTTGCATGTTATAGGGCTATAGGTACAAGTAGGATATTGCGGTTTCAAAACATACATTTTTAAAATTTATCAATAGTGACATTGTAACACTATTATCTGTCATAAATCTCTGAATAACACCCCACATGTACATATTTTTTTTAAAGTAGACAACCCAGGGTATTCAATATGGGGTATGTCAGTCTTTTTTAGTAGCCACTTAGTCGAAAACACTGGCCAAAGTAAGCATTCATATTTGTTTGTGTGTGAAAAAAGTAAAAAAACTAAATTGAACGCTAATTTTGGCCAGTGTTTGTGACCAAGTGGTTACTAAAAAAGATTGGACATACCCCATTTGCAATACCTTGGGTTGTCTTCTTTTGCAAATGGTATGCCATCATGGGGGTAATTCTCATTCCTGGGCTACCATACGCTCTCAAAGGCAACGTAACCAACCTGGCCATTTTCAATGTAAAATATTTGACCCATATATTTGACCTTGTAACTTTCAAAAATGCTATAAACCCTGTACATGGGGGGTACTGTTTTACTCGGGAGACATCGCTGAACACAAATATTAGTGTTTAAAAACTGGAAAACGTATCACGACAATTATATCATCAGTAAAAGTGCTGTTTGTGTGTGAAAAATGCAAAAAAAGTAACTTTCACTGACAATATCATCGCTGTGATATGTTTTACTGTTATGAATCACTAATATTTGTGTTCAGCGAAGTCTCCCGAGTAAAACAGTACCCCCCATGTACAGGTTTTAGGGTGTCGTAGAACGTTACAGGGTAAAATACAGTGCTAGCAAATTAAATTCTCTGGAATTACGGCCTGGGTTGGCAGGCAGGTCCCTCAAATTGCAATCAATAAAATTACTGAATTATGTAAAAATATTGCATAAATACGCACGTAGAATTTAAATATATATGCATATTTATATATTTGAAGTCTACGTGTATATTTATATAATTATTTATGTAATTTTGTATATGGACGTATGTATATTTCTTATTATTTTTATTTATTTTTATATACATAGATATATATACAAATTCATTCTAAGTGTATTTTGATATAAATATATATATATTAATTTTTAAATACAGTTAGAATAAAATTTCATATAGCTATATAATTTTTTTTTAATTTTTTATTATTATTTAAAAAAAAAATATTTAATTTAAATTACTTATTATTTATATTTTATAATAATATATATATACAATATATATAGTTATTATATATATTATATATATACGTGTGTAATTTAATTATAAGTGTATTTTTATATTAATATAAGTACATATTAATATAAAAAAAAAACTTAGTATGACATTATATATATATGATATATAGACATATATTATATAGATA